CTTTATTTATGATCTTATAGCATGTGGTAATGAGGATGTTTACACTTTTATGCATAGTCCCACACTTAAAATTCCCTTCACTGTATCACTATGTAAAAATAAGAAATTTGAGGTGAAATTCTATCTATTGTAATACACCTATCGGTATCAGTAATTCTTTCCTGACTGTATTTCTTTTACCTCTGGTGAAGTGTAAATTTGTCTGTCTCCTATCAAATAAGAAAACCCATAATATTTGACCACAATGCTCAAGTTCCTCACTTACATTAAGTCTAGGAATATATTCGAAGGAGAATGGATTTTATTGGATCAGATGGATTTGGTTCTTCTGTTTAACCAGTCAAGAAATCCAGGTCTAGAGCCTGCTTACGCCTCAACCTGGACAACTGAGTACTATCACCAGATCTCACAATATGTGAAGCTCATAGTTGGGTACGTGAATAATCTACTGTGTGTAGTTGAATTCAAACTGATTCATCAGGAGCACAATCAAGTATTCGGCAAAATAAAAACGGAAAATGTTTCTTTTTTCTCTCGGGGGTTTGGCAAACTACTTTTATTCAGGACACTGTATTGAACATCAGCTCCTAAGCATTTAGAAGCTGATGTGCATTGATCAAGGTACTCTACTCGAACTCATGCAGCCAGGTGAGGGCTTAAGGCAAGTTGTCATCTGAAGTGGTGACGACTTGTGGTGTCCGTCAGGGATGCCCATTATCCCCATTTCTATTCAATTTCATCGTAAATATACTAATGGATTTAACCCTAACTCACTTCAGAGACTCAGGGATTGACTTGCTACCAGGGAATAATCTCGTTGACATAGAATGTGCAGATGATATAGTCCTTCTAAGCGTTGACGCTGACAAAATGCAGAGTCAGTTTACGCCGTCTCTGGGGTAGACGTGATATCCGACTGGCTCTCGACCAAAGGGCGGGTGTAGTGCTCATCAGTTCGCTCCGTCCTCCTCTATGGCTGTGAGACCTGGCCATTGAGAGTGGAAGACATGAAAATGTTGGCTAGCTGTCTTTGATCATAGGTGCCTGCGTTCTGTCCCCCGTGTGAAACGGTATAATAGGGGGAGCGATATTGATGTTAGTCGTCGAGTGGTAGGTAAGGAGGGGAAATCAATCGACGAGGTTGTGAAGCAGCTGCATCGATTGAGATGGTTAGGACATGTGTTACGCACACCTAGCCTAGTCATCGCCTTCCTCGTCAATGGGCAATGTTAGCTGAGATGGGGTCAGGCTGGAAAAGAGCTAGCGGTGGTCAAACCAAAACAACAGTTAGTTTAAGCCGGCCACGTAAGAAGGTGTAGATGTCCTAGTTGGGGTCCTCAGGACAGTAATCCCCAATGGTTGGAAACAATTGGTGATATGGCTCAAAATCGTTCTCAGTGATGTGCAGATACATCTACTCCCTGTGACTAATAATATCCAATGAAACTATATTGTTCTTCGTTATTACTATTCTTTTTGCCTCATATCTCTCTTTACTGGCTCTATTATGCATTTTTCTACTTTCTTCTCTTTCTTGGTGTGCTACATGAAGGGAGTGTGGCGACTTGAACTGGTGCACATATGTGCAAAGTTCTATGTGGAAAACAGATAGACAGTCTAAATTCTTAATAAAAAGTGACTTGATGAAAATGAATAAGCTACCAAATATAAAATATTTACACCTTGACTCTTTTAGTATAGATTTCTTGATTATATAACATCATCGAGTTTGATGTTCACCATGTTTCAAGTTATTTAAACACTGATAATTTATGCAATGTATATATATAAAGATAAATTGTATAAAGTGATGGTGAACTTTTAAAAATATGTTTGAGTGTTTCAATTTTCTCTCTTCTTTGTACATCTATCTTTATGGATAGATAGTAAGATTAAAGAGGAGATGAGGAAAAAAAAAATCAATTTTGTACCAAAACTATCGTTGATGTTACCACTCTTTTTGTTCATATCTTCTTCGTGTTGTTTTTCAAGTAATTCTATTCCATATTCTAAATTACTGATTGAAGAGATAATGTAACACTTTCTACAGATGTGTATCAATTCAAATTGTCACATATATTGGAAAAAGATACTTGAAGTGTGTGTGTATAAGAGAGCGATAGTCCTACTATTCGATATTCGATCGTAAGGAATAACTATATCTGCCTTATTTTAAATACTTTTAAGTTATGTTGCCGACATGTCTGTAATCTTTGGTTCTTAGCATTCCCAGGACGTTGAATTACTCAACCAACCTTTTACTCAATTAACCTTCCTAAGTGGATCAGAGCAAGAGTCATTGATTTTATCGGTTGGCTTTGTGTTTTGATTTCACCATTCGTATTATTTTTATGACCTAATCCGGTATCTACTGACGTTGATCTGCGAAGAAAACAAGCATTCGAAATGCATAATAATACATGCTCCAATCACCGGGACAAGTGATCAACAGATTAGGTCTGATAGGGATATTCCACATCACACTGTGCTAACTAACATTATTATTATTATTATTCCCTTGGGTTCCTAGTGGAACATAGGGCTTCAATTGCACGTCTCCACCTTCTTCTATCTTCTGCTGTACTTTTCACCTGTATCCATGTTAGTCCATACTCTTTCAACTCCTCTTCACACGACCTCCTCCATGTCACCTTTGCACTGACATCCCACTCGCCGTCTCCCTTTCGGGCTCCACTCTAGTGATGGCCTGACGCGTGATGTCACCCAGCGACCTCCTCAGCCACGAGTGTCCAATCCATCTCAATCGACTTTCTCCTGCATATTTGTTGGGCGATTGGTTCTTGTTTTGTTTGTTAGTGCCCATAGTTTCTTGTTGGTGATTCTTCCCGGTTCGGCCATCTGATCTTCAGTATAGAGTGAGGACAGTCAGTTGTTGATAAAGGTAGGTTTGCAACAGGCTGTTGGAAATATTCTTTGTGACCCGCCCGCCAAGTTTCTGATCCGTATAGAAGAACTGACTGACTTGACGTGTGTATTGAAATTCCGACTGAATTTTGTTGTTGATGCTGGCTGAGTGACGAAGATTTCCAGACTGGTTTCAGGTTGATGAATGTATTTCTCGCCTTCCCGATTCTCGCTCGGTATGACATCCTCTTCCGTTCCGACTGCCTGTAGTTGAGACAACGCTCCCTAGATAAGTGAATGAAGTAACCTGTTTCAAATGCCTCCCGTTGATGATGATTGGCGCTTGATGTTGCTGTTATTGTTGTTGGCTGGTTATTTTCATCACCTCCGTCTTGTCTATGTTCACCTGGAGTCCTGTCTTCGCCCGCTGCTTCTTCAACCAGTTTGTTGGTTTTCGCTTGTAAGTCTTCAATTTTTTGTGACATCAAACATAAATCATACACGCGCGAAATCCAGGTCTTCTAGGTTCTTCACGTCGGTCCAGGATATCCCTGTCTACTCGTTTCCCACTGTCTGACGCATAATCTTGTCCACGCTTACTAACATAGATATTGTTAAAAGGATTTCATTTATTAGACTTTATTTTCGTTTTTTGAGGAAAATTTCTTCAGTGTCAGTTCTCATACAATCTTAAAATTTTGGTGTTAAGGTTATCTAAGGCAGCTCTAGATTCTTTCCCATCCTTCGCATTCTGAGTGAAATATTGAGCTCCAAATATTGAGATTCCAGTGTTGGTGGTGTTGTTGTTTCTACCCGGCGGGTTTCACCCTCAGTCATCTTTCTTTTCCAGGATTTCTACTGAGCAAGATTCAGGTGTGTGTGTCGGGAAGTCGAACCCGAATCTCCTGCGTGATGGGAGAGGATTCCGTCATTAATAATTGAAATGAGACTAAGATTTAGAAAGCATTTGGGTCTTTTATAATTAATTGATAAAGTGTTGGACAGTTAAATTAGTGGCTGTTGAACAAAGGTATACTTCTTTGATAAAATAGAATTCATTAAAATAGTAAAAAAATTATTAATTTTCATCATTTTTGAAGTGAAATTGTGTGGGCGGTTGTAACTTCCCCGTTGTCCACACTGTGGAAGTTGATTGATTCTTCAGGTACCTGAAACAGAAAGATAGTTAATGTTGCGTGACCGCAGACCCCAGGGGACAACTGCTTGAGACTGGTTTCTGGGAGTGGTTCCTTATCAGTAAATTTACTACCGGTTATGGACCACCGTAGGATAAGCCAGAATGTACAACTGTTGGGGTCGACTCTTTCTTACCCTTTCTCTCCAGAGTGGAAAGGCAGCGTATCTGACATACTAGTCGTCTGAGGGAAACACTTTACTGCTGTTGTATCCCTGTTCCCCAGCAGTACAACTTCGCCCACAGACTCCCAACATAGTGTAAAATAATTCTTACAGTATGTCGGTAACTGCTTTTAGTCTAATCACTATCCTAACAACCTTCCAGGCATGGTAGGACCTTCAGGAACAATGGTTGCAGCCAGTGTAGCTTGATGGGTCATCGCGATGTGCAAGCCCGACTACCACGTCAATGTAGCAGCTTTCGGTCGGGTTTTCATCATTTAGATTCTAAGCAGTTGACAAGATACCGACCAAATGAAATGGATCCATTTTATTCTGATTTATGTCTTATTATTGCTTTTTTCAAATTATACTCTAATTCAGACTGTATTTTAGCCTTATTAGTACTCATATAGTGCTTCATATTGATGTGTTAAAACATTGAAATATTTGAATACCTCTTACCTACTGGGTTCATGTAGTAGAACCATGATTACATATGCAGGTATTTTCTTACTAACTTATCATGGACTCGATAACTGTGTCGGTCGCACAGCGGTTAGGACTCTCTCCGATCATGCACATGGTCCGGAGTTCGATCCTCTGTCGACTCACACCCGATATCTATGGTCGGCCTGCAAAATTTGGGCTATCGATATCCCATGCTGAAAATTCCATACCTGTACCAAAAATACAGTGTGGAATCAAGCTGTAATAAAAAAATTCAAAAAATTATAACTTTTCAGTGATAAAATCTCTCTTTTCTACGCTTGTTTTAGGTGCACCTATAGCTGAAGAACCAGATGTTGACTTTGAATCACAATTTGTAAAAAGTAATGGACAAATAGAGAAAAAAGAACCAGCTATTACAAGTCCTGTTAAAACAACCAACCAGTCTATTGCCTTTCCGTCTGTCAACGGTTTAGCTGTAACAACTCAGCCTGTTGCACCCAGTATTCCATTGATAGGCAACAATCAAAGTACTGATCCTAAAACTTCACAAGCATTTATGTCAGTTTTCGCTGATCCTTTTGCTGCTGCTCCTGTCAATCCAGCTACAATACAACAACATTATCAAATGGAATTACAACAACAAAAGGTTCAGCAGCAACAACAACAACAACAAATTATGCTTTCTCCTTTATTAAATACCAAGGTATGTGTGTTAATCTCATAGCTGTGTTAGATTTGCATTTTTTAAATATTTTCCATCACGTTCCCAGTGGAACATAGGGACTCAAGCTAGTGGCTTGAAGTTTCTGTAGCAGTGTTAATTTTTACGGGATGGGGTTGCTAACCTCATGCCCATCCTTTGCCCCTTACCAGTCCCACTACTGGCATAGCGAGTTAAAGGAGTGCGCCAGCCGGGGATCGAACCCCGGACCATGTGGATGGTTGGCGAACGTCCTAACCGCTGTGCCACCGACGCACAGGTTTACATTTAGCGAGATTTATTAGACCCTATCAAAGAAGCATACTGAATTTATCTTCTTTAAGAGTTATTTTGTAGAGATTTGATTTGTTTTAGATTTTGCCACGCATTGATATCAGTTGAACCATTGAATACCAGTGGGGAGTACTGAACAACTGTTCCGTCCCATTTTATGAGTCTTTGGTAGTACACAACACTGCCGGGGATCTTAAGCTAACGAGTTTTTAGGTTATTTGCATCTCCCTTTGAGTGATTATGTTCAACTGAAATGCCAAAGAGGTGACTCCCGTAGCCGCAGTGGCCCAGTGGATAATGAGTTTTCCGGTATGAAGGAGAAGATTTGTAGCTCAGGTGGGTGATTTTGATGTAGTTGTGTTGTCTGAGCTGGATGGTTAATTTGCGAAGCTTTCATTGCCCTAACAGGCAACATCCTCAGCGCATATTTCAATTCGTTGAAGTCAGCTTTTGGATATCCCCACGAGTTTATTAGTCATCTCTTCCGGCGACCTTGGACGTGATTGGTTGTTCTTGTGTGTTTTCATACCTTCTAGGTAACCTGTATTGCAACTGATTGTTTCTTTGGCTTGAACTTTTACCCTTTGTGTGTGAGGTTTCTTTCTTATCGGTTGATAAATTTTGTCTATCTCGATGTGTCTGTTGATTGACGATTCACTGGAATACCAGTCTTCTAAAAATTCCCTAACATTCCTGATGTCCGCGATTGTCTGTATGTAGTGATATGAGCAAGGGAGTGGATGTCGTGTCTTTTGACGGCTAGCTTATGATCATGGATACGAAGACGAAGAGGATGTCTACTTTGGCCAATGTAGTGTTTTTCGCAGTTGTTACGATTTATTTTGTAGATGATATTGGTTTTATCTTCTTTCGTTGTTGAGTCTTTTGGCTGACATAGAGCCAGCTGAGTGAAGTGATTTTGTTGGTTTGTGTACGATGTCAATTCCTAAAGGTAACCATCCAGCTCAGAGAACACAACCACATCAAAGAGTGTTTCGGTGTTTGAAGCGATGGGTACAGGCCTTGAGTCTCAGTGGGAGCACTATCAATCACTGATAATTACTTGTACGCCTGGCTGACGAGTGACAAATAGGATGTAGCGCGTATCCTGAATTCCATTGCTAGTTATCATCCAGCAAATCATATCATGTTGATCCTCAGACTTCATTGAAGCGTACGTACTAGGAGAGGGGTGACATGTCAACGGAGACTGAACATTTCGGTCCAATCAATCAACGATTAAATGCAACCTAACTTAAGCAAATAATAACTGATACCCTTGGCATAAGAGATCGCTCTCTTGACTTAAGTGGTTTAGTAGATAATGGATGGTTTGGGTGTCAGTGGGAATACCATCACTCGCTGAGGATTGCAGATACAGCCACTTCTGATACTCTTGTTCGATAAACTAACATTAAGGATTGAATAGTAACTAAAATTATCATTTGGCGACTAATTCATATTATGTTTTAGTTTCACGAGTTAATCACGGATTGATATCAATTAGAGAACCATTGAAAATCAGGGAGTACTGGACAGCCAGCTGTTTCATCCTAGTTTCGGAATCATCGGAAGTACGCACCCACTGACAGGGTTCGATCCTAGGACCTTCCGGTTACAAGGCAAGCTGGCTCGTATACCATTCAGCCACTGGGATCCGATTCAATGGCTGATGAATTCTAACTTCTACCAATTCGTGATTTAGCACAACCCCAACCATTGTCGTTGGTGGTGGGTCATCCATCCACACACGTGTTATCTAATTGGACCTCACCTGACCTATCCGGAAGGTCCTGGGTTTCAAACCCCGGCGGTGGGTGCGTACTGCTGATGACTTCCAAACTAGGATGAAACAGCTGGCTGTCCAGTACCCTTTACTTTACTTTACTTTACTTTACTTCGGCTATCTCCTACGGGAGGATGAGCCGGCTTCATGAACGTCTCGAATCATCGCTGCCGAGGCGCGGCAATTTGTAAGAGAGTTCATGAAGTTTCATGGGAATTTGGTACGAGTGATGTCCCCAGCATCGCTCGGCCTTTTGTTTGAGAGTGCAGCTCTAGCCTTTACACAGCCAAGTGTGACCTACAAGGCAGTAGGAGTGGAGTAAGGAGTCCACTATCCATTGGGAGCCGGTGACCGGAGTTCGGTTCATACGCCTTTTTGAATGGGGCCAGACATCCAGGACATCCAACAAGCCCTTTGTCCATACGTCTGCCGGTGAGCTCCAGTGAGCTTCATACGCCAGTCGTTGGAGGTTTGGAATCAGGGTTTAGCCATCTCCCCTAGACCGTCATCCAATGGACAGTCAACCCGGTGGAGAGCGCCGGGCATCCGCTGCGAGTTGGCCACCCCTCCGCACACCTCTTGAAATGCTCCCATATGACCGGGCGTCTTACATAGCCTCTCCTGAGGAAGTCCTACTCACTGCCTTCACGTGGCGGAGGTGTTTCTCACCAAAGTGAGAGGGCGAAAGCGGATGCCCAGTACCCTTTGGTTTTCAATGGTTCTCTAACTGATATCACTCCATGATCAACTCGTAAAAACATAACTAATCCTTACAAACCAAACTATAGAAGTTTTAGTTTCAATCATTTCTAGGTAACATTCAAGATGATGATGTATGTGTATTGCATGTGGGGTTTGTAAAGTACATTCTTGGTCTCTTAGTTTACATGTAATAAATAACAGTAGTAATAATGATAATAACTACCCACTTTAAATTGGATATATTAAATTGAACATATAAATAATGTCAACAGATTTTGATATAATTTTCGATCAACTTTTTAATTCAAACCGGAAGTAAGTAAGGCGGATAGAATTAATATAGGATATTGGCGTGTATGTGTACGCTTCTTTGAAATATTATATATTTTGCTTTGTTTATTTGTAAGTTTCATTCACTTAATTTGTTACATCATACATGTATACTAGATTCTTTTCTCACTATTAATAGGTTCAAGGGAATTCGATTTGTTTCTGAAGCCGTTTAGAGATATGCTCTGAAGTCCTTACCTACAGAGATCAATAAGTCCTCTCTATGACCATGATCAGAACACCAAGATCCATTCGCCAGCTCGCTGCTACGAAGGATGTATATATATATATATATATATATATATATATATATATATATATATATATATATATATATATATCAAGCTACCGCAGATGGATGATTATAGTGTTGAAGTCTTTACTTTCCGAGATCGATGAATCCTCCCTATGTGTCTGTAACCATACATAAATTTAAATTGGAGATACAGTGGGATCTAACATCATCTCACGTATGTTCTATTAGGATATAGAGACTTCATATTTTCAATCATCTGGAGATTAGTTGCATGAAGCTTTGTATAAAGCTACTATGATCACTTGCGCGGTGTAATTTGAGTACAAATCTTTCGTAGCAGCGAGTTGGCGAATGGATCTTGGTGTTCTGATCGTGGTCATACGGAGGAGACTCATCAATCTCTGCAAGTAAGGCCTTCAGAAGCACATTTAATCCCCTGAATCCATTAATACTGAAAACAGACAGCCTAACTCTTCATTTGACAAACATGTTATAGATTAAACGGCATAAAATTGATGTTTACACTTCTTTTATAAACCTATCTATAAGACTTTTTATTGTTATTGTTGCTGTTGTTTTATTCCCATAATGATGCGTGTAGATTCAGCCTCCTGTGAACGTTGTTTCAACTATCAATTCTACACCGGCTTCACCATTTTTGGGTGGACCACCTATAGCCGCTCCAGCTGTTTCCTCTGCATATAATTCTACTCCATGGGCGACTGCATATTCACCACCGCAACAATTCAATAGATCTTCAGCTCTACGCAGTACACTTCCAGTTAATTCACATTTAATGACCACAGGAATTGTTCCACAATCGAATTTAAGTAATCATCTTGTGAGTAGTGTAATAAAGCCAGGTGAGTGAAACAGTTATATTATTTTTCGTATATCTTTTATAGGCTTCTTTCTAAACTCTGTGGTGCTCCAGGACATGTTTTTTAAAAATCTCGGATAAAGTTATTTATCTGGAAAAAACAATATGAACTAAAATACTGAAAGATTTGAGTTCAATGCTTTTTATCAGATTGACCCTTACCAGTCGTAGTATTATTCAGATCACCTTAAAATAAGATTGTATATCTGTTAGCCTAATATCACTACTTTGTTCCTTCTTCCTGAGTTAAATGGTTTTTTTGAATAAATTTTTCATATTCAACCTGGAAGGCGCATTCATTTTGAGGACAAGCTGAAATTGTAATTGTAGTTGACCTTGCATGGATAATTTCATCATGAGCTGACATCATTTAGAGAACCACTGGAAAACCTGGGAGTACTAGACAACTGTTTCGTCCTAGTTTGGGACTCTTCATCAGTACGCAACCACCACGACAGGGTCGAACCCAGGACCTCCAGGTTACAAGGCAAGTTGATGGACCATTGAGCCACTGGGACCCGATCCAATGGTCAACCCGTGAATTATAACTTCTGCCGATTCACAACATAGCGCGATCATTTCGCAATGTCTTCTTCGATAAGTTACTGCCTCATCTTCAACCTGCTGTAGTTGATCTTGGCTCATTTCGCTCTGCTTTTGTCTTAACCATCGCTAGGACGTCATTTTCACTCTAATCAGCCAAATTAATCGTCGTTCTTCCCATCCCATAGGATAAAAAAACAGATGGGTATAAACCATTGTTTGAATATTAAAAGCGTAAGATTTCATGAGCTATGGGTTCGTTAAACTTCCATGTAGGCATGCGCCTGTTTTTAGCCTATCACCTTTGCATGAAACGTGAAGATCAGTTCTCAGCACCTTGTCAAAGTTGTGAAGTCTGTTTCAAGTTTTAGTTAGAAAAAAATCTCTGAGTATAATGCCTTACTTCTAAGAGTATTTAAAGCAGCTATTAAAAACCTTTACGTTTAAGTAATTCAAACATATATCATCGTTTGGAAAACTAGATGTAGTTTCATAAGGTCATATCGGATATTGCAGGCTACAGTTTAGGAGAAAGAAAAGCAATCATATCAGAATTAGGTGAACTAAGGTGGGATTTTATATTTTGAAGCTTTTCTATTCTTTTTTCTCTGAATGTATTCATCTATTTTGATGTCATTCTGTTGTTGTACTCATTCTTTCTTTGTGTATTCTTATTGGATTACTGTGGTAGCTTCATCTGCTGCACTTCACAACGTGTCTCTACGGGATTTACTCGGTGTCGTACAAGTGCAACTAAATTTCATAGCTCCATTAATGGATAAGATTTTATTCTGATAAGTCACACGGTGTTACCCAGTAATATTAACTGATGACTACTCTTCGAGCACAAACTATTACTGCTCATAATCATATCAAGCTACTCACACAACTTTTTCCTTCATTTATATAGAAGAGGCGTTGGTTTTAAATAACTATCCTATAAAATTCATTAGGAAGATTAGTAAAGGCCAAAAACAAGATAAAAATAATTATGAAACTAGTAATGATAACATAACGAAGAACTTCGCCTTGAAGGACTATATCGTCCGCTTCACGTATTTGGGAAGTACCATCAGCCAGTGCCAACGAGTTGATCTCTGACGAAATCTCAGAACGGATACAGAAGGCTAGTTTCGCATATGCCAGTTTATACAGTCTCTGGCGTAGACATGATATCCAGCTATCAACCAAATGACGTGTGTACTGCTCACCAGTCCACTCTGTCCTCCTTTATGGCTGTGAGACCTGGCCATTGAGAGTGGAAGACATGAAAATGTTGGCTAGCTGTCTTTGACTAGAGGTGCCTGCGTTCTGTCTCCCGTGTGAATTGGTACAATAAGGTGAGCAATATTGATGTTAGTCGTCGAGTGGTAGGTAAGGAGGAGAAATCAATCGACGAGGTTGTGAAGCAGCTGCATCGATTGAGATGGTTAGGACATGTGTTACGCACGCCTAGCCTAGTCATCGCCTTCCTCGACGAGCGATGTTACCTGATATAGGGTCAGGCTGGAAAAGAGCTAGCGGGGGTCAAACCAAAACATGTCACCAGTCAATGAAATCTACAACAGTTAGTTTAAGCCAGCCACATAGGAAGATGTGGACTTCCTGATTGGGGTCCTCGGGACGGTAAAAACCAATGGTTGGAAACAATTGGTGACATGGCTCAAAATCGTTCTCAGTGATGGCGCAGTTGCATCCACTTCCTGTGACTTATAATTTCCAGTGAAACTACATTGTTCTTGGTTACTTCTATTCCTTTGTTTCGCACCTCTGTTTACTGTCTCTATTATGGTTTTCTTGTACTTTCTTCTCTTTCTTTGTGTGCTACATGAAGGGAGTGTGGCGACTTGAACTGGTGCACATATGTGCAAAGTTCTATGTTGAATACAGACAGACAGACAGAATGATAACATAAATAAGAGAGAATGTAAGTCATCCACTGTTATACCATATAAAGAGGGGACATCTGAGACCCTACGTAGAATTCTTAATAAGGCAGGAATTAGGGTGGCATTCAAACGTACAAACTCATTCATAGACGACAAACTCTTTAGGCTAAAAGACCGCGTGAACCCCGTTAAACAAAATAATATAATTTACAAAATACTCTGTGAGATCAACTATATAGGTCAAACTAGTAGATCGAGGGTAATCAGATTGACGGAACATAAGAATTTAGCTAAGGGAAGAATGGTTGACCCCGAGAAGATAAGTAATTTAGAAAAAAGCTCAGCAGTTGAACTACATCCATTAACACACAACCACACAATAGGATGGAATAGGGTTAGAATTCTAAGAAGTAGTCTACGTAGGTGGAGAGAGAGATTGATGATTACTGAATCCTGCCCAGTTCGTCGAGTCTACACCCAATACATGCAACAGAAAGGACTCAATGCAACTACCAGAAATATGGAAGATATTATTACCACTAGTCAGTCAAATCAGAGGAGGACAATAAATAATCTAAAAATTCTATTTCAATTCAAGCACATCACAACATTCTAACAAGTTACTTATTATGACTATAAAAACACTCGTCTCATTTCCCATCTGACTGTAACTGATCAATAACACTCATATTATTATTTCTGAATGTACACTATCCTATATTGATTTTTATTCAAATGTCTAATCATCAATTCCACACATGTATATCAATGAAGGAACAAGTTGTGTGAGTGGCTTGATATGATTATGAGTGGCAATAGTTTGTGCTTGAAAGGTGGTCATCAGTTAATATTACTGTGTAACACTATGTGACTTATCAAAATAAAATCCTATCTATAATGGAGTTATATTCTACGACAGTGCCCAAGTTTTATACTTATATCAAATTTCATAGCTGTCTACAATCTTGAGGAGGTATCAGGCGTATTTTTCAAACGTCTAATGTAAACTCAGAATAATCATCATCTCAGTTATACAAGATCTCTGCGGTTACATTTTGACATTCTTGGCATCGTCTTCCACTATATTGATCATGGGAATGTTAGCGATCGGTTTGCCCACTGTTTATCTTTATCGCTGAATTCTGCTAGACTTATGTTATCATTTGACTTGTAAACATTCTATCTCAATCTGCTGCTGACTCTAGTTTGTATATACCACCGGTTTGTTAAACACTCGATTGGAGAGAAGAGTACAAGAAGCTCAGGACACACAGATATCTTTTTGGCGATTTCATTCTCAAAGGCCATACGCTCTCGTTCTTATGCATAAGTTTATATATTAAAGAAGGGAGATTAAAGGAGATAATTTTTGAATTGATATGTAAGCGTGAAGGTGTGAACCTAAAATTTGGATACGTTGCGTAGAAGGCAGATTTGTAATGATCAAAAGAAACGAGTTGGATAAAACTCACGACTTAATAAAAAAACATCTTCAACGACAGCAAATTCACAAGAGAAGAGGAATCTGAGAACAAAATTCCATTTTTGGACGTCTTAATCAAGCGAACAACCACAGGGGAATTAGAAACTCAAGTTTATAGAAAATTAACTCACACGAACCAAATACTCAATAGCAACAACAGCAACAATCCAACAACACCCAAAAGAAGTTGTATACAAACACTATTCAAGAGGGCCAGGAATCATTGCAACACTCCTACCGTAAGGAAAATTGAAGAAAAAGATATCTCATGGACGTCTTCCAAAAGAATGGATAACCAGGAAATTTCATCAAAAGACATATATCCCTATGCCAACCAATCAAATCAAAGGCCCTCAACGAAAGCACAAAGAAAATTTCCCTACCATATATAAAGGACATATCAGAAATCACTGCAAGACTCTTCACACCTTTAGGAATTGACGCCTCACACAAGCCAACAAAATCACTTCACTCAGCTGGCTCTATGTCAGCCAAAAGACTCAACAACTAAAGAAGATAAAACCAATATCATCTGCAAAATAAATTGTAACAACTGCGAAAAACACTACATTGACCAAAGTGGACGTCGTCTTCTTATTCGTATCCATGATCATAAGCTAGCCGTCAAAAGACACGACATCCACTCCCTTGCTCATATCACTACATACAGACAATCGCGGATATCAATTCGACTGGGACAATGTTCAAATTTTAGACAGAGGAAACACCGAAAATGTCAGAGGGTTTTTAGAAGCCTCTCACTTCAGTGAATCGTCAATTAATAGACACATTGACACAGACAAAGTTTACCAACCGATAAGAAGGAAATCTCATACACAAATGGTGAAAGTTTAAGTCAGGGAAACAATCGGTTCCAATACAAGTAGCCTAAAGGATGTGAAAACACGCAAAAACAGCCAATCACGTTCCAGGTCACCGGGGAGATGACTAATAAACTCATGGAGAAGTATGAAAGCTCACTTCAACGAATTGAAGTATGCGCTGAAGATGTGGCCTATTAGGGCTATGAAAGCTTCGCGAATAAACTATCCAGCTTAGAGAACACAA